TCATTATCATTTTCCAGCTAGTTTTATCCTTGGATCAGGTCAAAATATCAGAAAGCTGCATCATCTCAGCCTTTGGCCTCTTCATCTGTCCATCATCCTGCTCTACCTCACTCTCTACAGACTTGTTTGGGCTGAATTCCATTTTGAAGTTATGCTTTGCTTTCCCAAGGAGCTTCAGCATGTGACAGCCTTGTAACAAATACATTTGCAGAAATGCTGTTGAAGGCATTAACTCTGACTTTTCTTGGGACCCACTATGTGACCAGGAGGACAAAGGGCTCTCAATTATTGCTGTGTTTTAAAAAAACCTGAAGAAATAGGGCAAAATGTCAAAATCTGTAATGTTTCAATGGTGGGTACATAGCAAATGGTTTATTATTCTCTGTGTTTTTGCATATTTTGAACTATCTTATGATAATAATATCACTTAATTTCTTACCAGCCAGAGGTATCCACTTCGAAGATTTTGTGAATATCTTTCCAGACATCTGTCTATTAAGTAAGGGTTAAGAGCCTGTGTACACTTTGAAGTATGACAGATCTGAGTTCGACTATGCTGTGGCCATTTACCGCTTTCTAACTTTGGGCAGGTTGCATCTTACTTTTTGAACTTTAATTTCCACATCTGTAAGATGGTATATTAGTCCATTCTTGCACTGCTATAAAGAACTACCTGAGACTGGGTAATTTATAAAGAAAAGAGATTGAATTGACTCACAGTTCCACAGGCTATACAGGAAGTGTGGCTGAGGAGACCTCAGGAAACTTACAATCATAGTAGAAGACAAAGGGGAAGCAGGAATGTCTTACATAGCCTCAGGAGGAAGAGGGTAAAGCAAGAGGTGCTACACACTTTTAAACAACCAGATCTCATGAGAACTCACTGACTATCCTAAGAATATCAAGGAGGAAATCCACCCCCATGATCAAATCACCTCCCACCAGGCTCCTCCTTCAACACTGGGGATTATAATTTGACATGAGATTTGGACAGGGACATATTCCAAAACACATCAGATGGGAATAATGATGGCACATACTTCATAAAGTTTTTGTGATGACTAAATGAGAAAATGTGTACAAAGTGCTTAGCACATTGCCTTAGGCACAGTAAGCACCAATATATGTGAGCTGTTATCGTGTATGTGGTATCGTGTAAGTGGAATATGCTATGGGCATTTTCTATGTCAGTAAATATAATCCATGGAATTAAATAAAATAAAAGTGATATAATAAGAAAAGGTTAAATTCTCAAGAGGAACTGGGTTAGTTTATCCTTATGGGTTGCATACTTCTGGCTGACGAGAAGTTCACAGTCAAATGTATCCAAGTGGTAAGACCTTGTGACCTGAATAATCATGTTCTATTTTCTCTGATCTTGGGGACTTACTTTTTGTGACTTCCATTAACTCTCTATTTCATTTAATATTCTCCCTGTAAACCCCTTAGATCCCTTGTTCAATGTGGTTGGGAAGAAAGAAAGGAAAAAATAGGAAGGAAAATAAACATGGATGGCAAGACAGAAGGAAGCAAAGGAAGAAGAAAGGGTTATTTGCACAAGACTTTGGAACTGTTGATTAGAATGTTTAACTTTTGGATTCATGCTAATTAACATAATTTTTCACTGCATGCCAGACTTTTTCAGGTGCTCTCTGGCTGCACCTTGTTTGTTTATATTTTGACTGGCATTAAGCCTTAAGCTATTCTCCCTGATGCAACTGTGAGTTTTCACAAATGATGCCACTTGAGGTATGCCATGGGTTCTGGTTCATGCTGGTGTCTGATAACTACTATGGTCAGTTCCTTATTATCTATGTGGAGATCGGGCACTTTGTCTTTTGGCAGCAAATGTTTCATCCAAGGTCAGTTTCCTTCAAGTGCTCAGTGCTGTTTCAGAGGGTGTGTGCTGAGGGAATGCAGATTAATTTAATGTTAGCTTTAGCCAAACCCAGCTATGAAAGTAAACCTGCTTTTAAAGACACCATAAACACTGATGAAGATCATCTAAATTGTATGATGTTTGAGCATGTATAAATGCATCAACATTCACCTTAATTCCAAAGGCATCATTCCATAGCACTGTGATTCATCATTTATCTTTGCATTAGTCTTATTTTTGTTCTTTGACTATAAGTAAATGTAAATTTGAAATTATTGAAATACCTTTGTTATCATATGTTATTATAACTGGGGGCTACCAGAATAGGTTGAGAATATATGCTGTTTCATATTTCTGTTTGATTATAAAAATGCAGCATGTGCTTATAATAGAAAATGAGGAAATAGAAAACTCTAGAGGAAATCAAACCATTTATAATCCCTTCACACATAAATGATCACTGTTAACATTTTATTATATCTCTTTCCACACACAGTTGAGGCTGTAGAAGTTCTCAAGATGGATTTGTAGATTGTTTTAAGAAAAAATTGCAGTGCTTTTTGGTGTTGCAAAGCACTTTCCAAATTACTTCCACGCTCTGCAAGGCCTCCCTGCATGAAAGAAAGTGGGGCATGGGAGTGAGGAGCCCTGGGATCTGCTTTTCCATAAGGAGGAACTACATCTTGTCTTCCTCTACTACCTCTAGCTTTACTTTCCTTTTGCCCTTAGGGGTGGGCAGGGCCCAGGGTAGATGGGACAGGCTGGGCTGAGAGACTGGAGCTCCCCTGGCCGCAACATCTTTCCTACTTGCCCTCACATGGGTTGGGGCATTCAGAAATCTTAGTGCAGTCCGTTACATAAATGACAGAGAAGGAGGGAGAGCTGGATCTCCCAACACCTCCAGGTGCAGAACCTAGGGCGGAATCGAGGAAGCACTTCCCAGGGTCTTCTCCTCTCCTACCTCGGAATTGTGCATCCAAAGTTTTCACTCCCGTCATCCTGTCTCCTTCCCTTTTCTGGAACTGCGTTCTGTTCTCTTGAGGGAGTTTCCCAAGTTCCCCACGCTAATCAAGAGATGTGATTAGGGACTATGGGTCTTTGTTCGCACTTCCACCCAACCAGGTGAGCACATGACTCAAGCCAGGCCTATCAGAGATTCCCTGGGATTTCAACATGAGTGTCAAGAAACTAGGACCCTTTCTTCTAGTAGCAAAATCGGGAAGACATGAGCCCAGTCCTCCTGTGACTATGTCCCAGGATATGTGAAAGATGGAGCTTGCAGTAAGACGTAATGAATCCAGTCTTCAGAGAGAGGCAGAGATGAGAATGAAAAAGAGGGAGGGAAGGAAGGAAGGGACAGAGAAACCCAGTGGTATTCTAGTCCATAGTTTTAATTCTCCAGGCTCCCTAGATTCTCTTCCCAAAGTTTGGTTTTACCTTTTTCAAATTCTATATTTCTATGACCTATCCTAGGAATTTCCTCAACAAATTACTTCCGAATTGCTTTTCTGTCATTTGCAACCAAAATAGTCTTCAGCAATAGAACCAGACCCTCCCCGAAACCATTAATCCCCTGGATTCTCTGCAGGTCTCTGGCTGCTCTACTGTCTTTATATCTGGCTTTTGGTGCCTCCAAAGTCCCAAGTCTTAAAAAATCATCCACTCCTCTCCCCTTCCTCAAGTCCTTCTCTAATTCACTGTGGCAGAGAGTGAGGGTTAACTCTACACGATTCTATGGCTGTGGTGGGTCTCCACTGTTATACTGTTTGAAAAGCCCATTGTTTAGGTCTTTTTAAGTTTTAATATTATTTTGCAACGGTACAATGGCAAGATATGTCACTTTCTTTAAAAGAGGTGACAAATTGGGTGACTTAAAATGGAAAAAGTCTCTAATCAAAAGCCGAGGGAGACAATGTTGATGAAATTGTATAAAATGATCTGTCTCCTGGACTTGCTGGCTTTGCTGACTAAAACTTGGTTAAAGACGGGCTTGGTTTACTCCATAAAGAATTGGCTGCCCCTAATGTGTGCCAGGCACTGTGCTGGGCGCTGGAACTCTGTCAATCATGGTGAGAGAACTTTTTTATGGCACCTTTGGTTGATGGTGCAGTAAGCTGAAACAGCGTGCGTCAGTTTCCTAGGAAAGACCTTTCCTTAAAATGCCCTCTAGCATATACTGCTAAAGGCCACGCACAAACTCCATATCAAGTTATGAATCTGACATCCACCAGTGCTCAAAAGAGACAGGGCTTTTGCCTTTTCTTTGCAACCTGAACTTCCCACAGCATCCAGCCGAATCAGAATGAGGTCTGAGAGGCTGCTGAACCCCTGCCAAATGACACTCCACTTTACTGACAAAACAGCGTCCTCCTGCTGTTCTTTCTCCTGACAGGCATCTATTTTGAACTCCTTCTAGAGAATGCAGTGACAGCTCCCATCCTTGATCTCTTGGCCTAGCTCCCAGGGAGACCTCCTCACATTATGTTTTATTCATGGTGTTGCCCAAGCTGGTTTCTTCACTGTAAAAAACTGTGGTGGGGGCAGGGGTCATCAATGAACCTGAAATAAAATTTGAGTGTCATAATAAAACCATCGCTTTGTGTGCCGAAAGCCTACAAGCAGAGTCGAGATTCTGGGGAAGGACTGTGTTTTGAGGATTTTTAAGGCAAAAGCTCTGCAGAGAGAGAGGGGGAAGAAAAAAATACAGCTCTTCGTATTGTGTTGGAGTAGTGAAAGAAGTAGGTCAGAGAAACCAAAATAACCTTTGCTGGGAAACACGGTAAGTTTCAGATGTCTGAGAGCTTGGCGAAGAAAGATGGTGCGATGGATAAAAGCAGTAAACTGATAGATATGTGGGTCTAGAACTGGGAAAACCAGAAAGACTATATGGAATAAACATTCATTCTATTTCCCCCTAAAAAAATGTCATCAACTTCATCGTTGTCTTTCCTTGTCAGAATTATATATATTTCTACTTCACTAGTTATGCACTTGTAGGAGAAAGTGTAAAAAGCATCTCTTCCACTTCTGTCCCCTCAAAATGAAACCAATGGCCAAGCATTACAGGGACAGGGACCATAATGTGATGTTACATGTAATTTATATGTACACGTATGTATACCTTGAGAATGATGGTCTTCTCGTGGCGGGTGATGTTGACACTGTGCGGCTGTCCATTGGCCATGTTCCTGTGGTCTACGTCAATATTGTATGGCTCTCGGGTGCCACCCAGGTTGTATCGAATCTGTAAGCTTCCTATAGAAGAAAAAAGAAAGAAGCTCAGTAATTTGTTTGCCCTGAATTTCATTTTAATATCACATCCCCCCACCCCTGCTCTTTCTTTTCTCTTCTCTTCTCTTCTCTTTTCTTTTTGACAAAGTCTTGCTCTTGCCCAGGCTGGAGTGCAATGGTGCGATCTCGGCTCACTGCAACCTCTGTCTCCCAGGTTCAAGCGATTCTCCTGCCTCAGCTTCCTGAGTAGTTGGGATTACAGGCACCTGTCACCACATCTGGCTAATTTTTGTATTTTCAGTAGAGACGGGGTTTCACCATGCTGGACAGGCTGGTCTCAAACTCCCAACCTCAGGCTATCCACCTGCCTCAGCCTCCCAATATGCTGGGATTACAGGGGTGAGCCACCACGCCCGGCCAATTTCTGATAAACTTTCCCCCCTCCCTTGACATCCACAGATAACATTCAAGATTTGAATTTGGATTCACGAGCTCAGAGGCCTACTGACCCATATTGGCTGACAGCACCAGGCTCGCCCATATTTACAATCTGCCCACAGTGAACTTCAGTGACCGTCGTCTCAAAGTTGAAGATGCAAATGGTTTCAATGATCCAGGCTGGGATTGTGCCTGGACACAAAGAATGAGAGCGTATACAATATAGGACTGCAGGGAGGAGACGTCTGCAGGCTCCACGAAATACTATGTGAAATAAAAAAACCAATGCAGAGTGCAGGGATGATCTCAGCCCATCAGCAAAGTGTGACATTGGGCATATAAAAGAATCATGAGCATACAACTGTAAAAATAAACATAGTTTTAAAAAAAATTTTTTATTTATTTGTTTATTTTTTTGAGACAGAGTCTCGCTCTGTCACCCAGGCTGGAGTGCAGTGGCGCGATCTCGGCTCACTGCAAGCTCCGCCTCCCAGGTTCACGCCATTCTCCTGCCTCAGCCTCCCGAGTAGCTGGGACTACAGGCACCCACCACCACGCCCGGCTAATTTTTTTTGTATTTTTAGTAGAGACGGGATTTCACCGTGTTAGCCAGGATGGTCTCGACCTCCTGACCTGATGATCTGCCCGCCTTGGCCTCCCAAAGTGCTGGGATTACAGCTGTGAGCCACCGTGCCCAGTCAAACATAGTTTTTAAAGATGAGATTTTGGGTGGCCTCATTGAGACCAAGTAATAAATTTTATTTCAGGTTACAGACTAACCAAATGCAAATCAAAGGGCAAGATGGCTTTCCCAGGTCCCCTCAGTCCCTTTTTGCCCTCAGTGATAGTTCACTTTGCCTCAACAGCATATTCTTTTTTTCCTCCTTGCTTCTTCCCAACAATCAAAAAAATTCAAAATGACTAATATGACAATGCAGATTCTGCTTTTAGTTAATCTGCAAGCATAAATGTTGTATCTTAGTTATGAGTTTTAAATACATCAATATTTTATCTCATTTGTTACTCAAATTGGAATTTTCATGTTGACATCTCAGAGCTTAAAAATGGAGCCAGCAATCTAGCAAGAATTTGACCAGCTGTAAATCACCCAATGGATTATTTGTCACCTTTCATTTGCTTTTTAGGGGCACAAAACTGATATTCTGATTTTTAAGTTACAAAATAAAACATGCTAATTAAAACATAGAAAGTAAACAGAAAGAAAAAAAATAAGAGAAAGTCACCCGAAATCCACCACCCAAAGATAATTTTTCTAAACATCTTGGGAGTATCTGCTTTCAGACTTTTCTCATGCGCACACGCACACACACACACACACGCACACACACACACACACACAGTACTCTTCCTTATTTAGGCATTTTAACACTACACTTGCCATGTTCTTGGATTTCAAAGGAACATTTGTTAGAATAATCAAGAGCTAATTACATTTCCTATTTTTGTTTTCTAAACGAAATTCAACAAACCTTCACTATTTTTGAGTTTTACTTTAGTGTGTCATCCTAGACTCCTTTGCCTCTGGCATTTAAACTAAGCACCGTGGATTGGATTTTCGTCTCCTAAATCTATCTAAATTCCCCCACTCTTTTCCACTTCAGTAACCACAGGCTTTCTGCTGGCACCCGCGGTGCCCTTGTGTGAATTCCAGAGGGAGCCTGCTCCCTGGCTGAGGCAGCTCCACACAGAGCTCCTGGTTCATCCTCACACGTGCTTTACCTGCACCATCTTCGGCCTGGATTGCAGAAGACGGTGGGTCTTAGTCAGCCTTCTCTTTAAAAATGACTGCTCTTGACCTCATTTCACTCTCAAATGAGGCCTCTCTTCCTTTGCTTTTCTTTGCTCCGAATCCCATGGAAAGAGATGGGTACACTCGCTGCCTCCAAACCCATCCCAATTTTAGCACGAGCCCTCTGTCTCACTTCTGTCTTCCCTGCTCCATGGTCTCTTGCTGGGCCCGTGACCCCTGGGGAAGTAGAGGCAATGGTCCCTCTCAGGCCTCATCTTCATTCGGCACAGAGTTCATTCACCTCCTGGAAGCACCTGGCCTCCAGCACACCCTCTTTTGGTTTTCCTTCTCTACCTGTTTTTTCCCTCATTTTGCGGCACTTTACTCTTGCAGTCACCAAAGACAACCCTGAAGCCTAGTCTCTTTTGTATTCATGCCTGTTTCCATGGTGATCCTGTTACTGAAGGCAAATCCCTAAGGGTCTGCAGCAGACTTGATCCTTGACTCCTCGAAAGAATGCGGCTTGAGGGGTAGAAGTAGGTTTAAGGCAGAGGGCGAGACTGCGGCAAGTTTTAGAACAGGAGTGAAAATTTATTAAAAAGTTTGAGAAAGGAAGTACACTTGGAAGAGGGCCAAGCGGGCGACTTGAGAGATCCAAGTGCCTTGTTTGGCCCTTGATTTGGGGTTTTATACATTGGCATAGTTCTGGGGTGTGGTTTCTTCTCCCCTGATTCTTCCCTTGGGGCGGGCTGTCTGCCTGCGCAGTGCCCTGCAAGCACATGGGAGGGGCTGCGTGCACAGGCGTTTACTGAAGGGGTGCGCATGCTCATTTGAGGCGTCTTTCCTTTTCTAGTTGAGTGTTCCTAGAGGAAAGTCATATACCCATTAAACTCCACCATTTTGCCTCTTAGTGTGCATGCTTGGGCCCGCTCGCCCAACTCCCAAGATCTTACTGGGAAGCTGCTGCTCACCAGCTCCAGATGTTTTCTATCTGTTGAGAGACGCTTGTTCCTTGGTGCCAGCTGCAGCCAATTATCATTTTAGAGAGAAGACAGTTTAGCAACTGCCTGACCATCACCCAATGGTTGTCTCACATTCTTGGTGGTTGGCAGGAGGGAGCACCCTCTTCTGCCCTGCTCGTGTCTAACTACCTACTTCAACAATCCTATCCCATGTAGGACCTTTGAATAAGGTGTCAGCCCATCAGACACCAAATTCGTACCCCAGTCAGACTTCTCTCTTGAACTCCAGACTCTTTTCACAAACCGTCTACTTGATATTTCCCTCAGATATCTTATTGGCAACCCCAAACACAACATATGCAACACAGCATTGATCTTTTTCCGCAAAAGTATTCCATTGCAGTTTTCCGCATTTCGGTTAATTGCCAATTCATCCTTCCAGTTATTCTTGCCAAAAGTCTTGACTGTCCTCTTTCTCCTATATGACATGTGTCATCTGATAGTGTCATCTGATGGCAAGTCTTCTTGGCTTGATCTTCAAAACATGCTCTGATCTTACCAGTTGTCACCATTTCCATCTCTACCCCCTGGACCAAGCCACCAGCGTCTTTTGCTGGGATTATACTAGCTTTTGTCCTACTCCAACCTTCCCTGATCTCAACTGGGCCTCTGACCCTGAGAGACACAGGGTCCTCACCACACGGTGGTCAGAGTGATCCTCTGCTCAAAATCCCCGTGGTTCCCCGTCTCACTCAGAGTAAAAATCAAAGTTCCAGCAATGGCTCACCAGGCTCTATGTGATCTCCTTATTATTGCTGACCTAACCTCCTTTTACTCTCCTCCTTGCTCACTCCTCACCATCCACATTGGCTTCCTGTTCCTACCCCAGGGCCTTTGCAGTCACTGGTTCTTCTGTTCAGAATGCTCATTCCCCAGCTCTCTGCATGGCTATGCCCTCATGCCTTTAGGTCTTTGCTCTCATGTCCTCTTCTCAGTGATCATTTCTGTGACCTCCTCGTTAAAGTGGAATTTACCCTCTCCTTTCCCATAGCCAGGCACTCCCTTTTCTGCCTCATATTTTCCCCATAACAGTTTTTGCACACAACAGACTATAGATTGTACCAATTTGTTTATTGTCTGCCTTCTCCTATTCAAAGGTAAGCTCCATGAGAGCAAGCATTTTTGTTTCTATTATTTATGACTATTCCCAATGTCTAGAATAGTGCCTGATGCACAGTAGGAGTGGAATAAATATTTGTTGAATAAACGAAGGAATGGTCTCTGATATGGTTTGGCTGTGTCCCTACTCAAATGTCATCTTAAATTGTAGTTCCCATAATCCTCATGTGTCATGGGAGGGACCCAGTGGGAAGTAACTGAATCATGAGGGTGGTTACCTCTGTGCTGTTCTCATGATAGTGACTGAGTTGTGATAAGATGGGATGGTTTTACAAGGGGCTTTCCCTCCTTTGCTCTGCACTTCTCCCTACTGCCACCATGTGAAGAAGGATGCGTTTGCTTCCCCTTCCACCATTACTGTAAGTTTCCTGAGGCCTCCCCAGCCATGGGGAACTGTGAGTCAATGAAAACTCTTTCCTTTGTAAATTACACAGTCTCAGGTATTTCTTCATAGCAGTGTGAGAACGGACGAATACAATCTCCTTGCTTCTATACCTTCTTCTTCCCCGTGTTTTCAAAATGTGTAACTGATTATTTTATAGGGTCATTTAAGATCCTTCAAAGCCTTCCAATTCTTTACAGAATGAAGATGTACTTTCCAAATAGAGGTTGCAATGCCCTGTCTGATGTGCGTTCCTCCTGCTACTTTGTTTTCAAATCATGCCACTCACTCTCTCACTTTTTACATTCAAGCT